CCTTAAGCATCCTATTCCAGAATTGGAATAGATTTTGGATTCCCAGGTATGGGTTAAAATGTTCAATAAAATGCTCTTTTTTTGTCCTACAGAATATGTGCCAGGAGTCCACCTTTGTTATTATAACAAACTACACTTTGAATGTGATTTTAAACCATTCAAATCAAGAAGACTCGCGGGCTGTTTTCTCTGCTGCACACACATCCTTGTGTAAGTGTTCTTTAGCCTGTTGACTTTCATTCATAGTATTCAGCTTACAAGGAAATATTTTGCAATAAGAGTTAGAATAAATGTGAATGATATCTAAGATTTTTTATTTATTTATTTATTATTACATATATATTTTTTTTTACCTTATTGGAATCAAAATTAGGAATTGACAAGGATCGGAATCATTAAAATTCAAACGATGCCCAACCCCACATTATTTTTGACTGGCACATTTCAATTCACAAAATTTCTTTTAAACCCTCACTTACCCTTCTTTGCTGTTGCCCTTCTTAAAAACAACCACAATCTTATACGTGAATGTACTTTTCAAAATTAGTTATAAAACAGTTGCTCCTGGCAACAGGGATAGCTAGTATGTTTGCTTAACATAGTGTCAAACATGACAATTTATGAGACTAATAAAGTTTTGCTCCAAAATCACTGTATAACATCAGTCGAGTTTCAAAACAGTTAGCTTCTGTGGTTCCATGTTGCTTCTTATCACAGTGAGACAGAAAATATTTTGTTATAAAATTCTATACTGTGATACAAGCTATGTCAGTGAAACAGACATTACAGTACATGGGTTTTAGGGTTAGGGTTAAACCTGCTCCCTAATGCTCACATCGTCTCATTTTGGGTAAAAATAGAAAAATAATACTAAAGTACTTTGTAACGCAGTAACTTGAGTAGTTTTTCAGCAAACTACTTTTTTACTCTTACTCGAGGCATATTATTTTTCAGTACTTTTACTTGTACTCAAGTAAATTATTCCTTAAGTAGCAATACTTTTACTTAAGTACAATTTCTTAGTACTCTTTCCACTTAAGGGCCAATGTTGCGTCACATCTGGGTTAGGAGAGGCTGTCAAGTAGCACAGCAATTCTTAATCACAGAAACACACTAAATGATTGACATGTTGTATTTTGCCTGCAGGCTACTAATAATTAAACCATTTAAAGCTTTGACCTGTCCTTTAATCTGAGCGTAGATGAGCGCCCTCTGACCCTGGAACAGTGCACTGATGGGTGGGGACAGCATGTCCACCGTCACGCCCTCAGGAACGGTCCAGTCCACAGAGATATTATCCACAGCCAGCTGGAGAGCAAACCTGAGTGACTGCATCACCTGACGGAGAAGAGAGGCTGTTAAATAAACACCCTAAACCTCTTGCACTGACTGGATCCAGTGTGTTTCTGCAGCAGATCTTACTTTGGGCTGAATGCGATCAGTGCCTGTGATGAACTGAGCGTGACCAGAACCTTCTCTGGCCATTCCTGTGACGAGAGCTGTACTCACACCCTCACCGATCCCGAAGGAGAAGCACCTAGAGACACAAGAGCAGCTCCAGCACTGAGCGTCTGACATGAACTAACGCTGAAGTAAATGAGGACTGAGACGAGTGCACCCACCTGTGAGAGTAAGCGTGACTCTTCACCAGATCCAGCACCTCCTTAGTGTTCCACACCTCTCCATCAGTGAAGACGAACAGCTGAGAGAGAAACACACCTCAGGCTGAGAAAAACACCTCTCCAATGTTCAGAACGAGTGTTTAGTGATTAATGCGTTTGGCTGTACCTGTCGGGGGTGATCCGGGTAACAGGGCTGACTGTAGATGTGGTTCAGCGGCTGTAGGATCTCTGTGCCGCCCATGTCTGCGTTCATGCTCTTCACTCTCTTCAGAGCCTCTTCCATCGTGTCCTCGCTGTACACAACACTCTGACTACAACGACACACCACAATCTCTCTCAAAACCACAGCTAAACAACATGAGATCAGTCCTGAAGAATATCAAACATCCAGTAACTGACGGGAAGAAGGACTCAAAGTGAGAGCCGAATCCGTAGATGTTGAAGTAGCATCCCATGGGCAAACTCTTCAGCAGCAGCAGCAGCAGCAGCGTGTCCTACAGAGACACATGTACTGATGAGTTCAGTTACTCAATGCATCTCAAATTAATGTGTCATATCTGAAATCCTAAATCTTACTCTTGCACTTTCAATGCGCTTCTGTGCGTCTTTCCCATGATGCATCTTGCAGCCCATACTGCCGGATCTGTCGACCACAAAAACGAACTCTCCTTGAGATGCCAATGATGACATCACCTCCGCAGGGAACTCTGGGTATAAACTGATCATGAGCGCCGGGTCGCCCATCAGAGACCCTGAAACAGAGACAGGGTAAACAGGGTAACAGGGTGTAAATGGCCTGAATTCAGTATGAACCGTGTTACACTGTTCAAACCACCTGAACACCTCATCAAGCCCTGCGTCCCGACTCACGTATGATCCACCCTAAACATCAGAGCTCAGAGCAGTTCTCTGCACACTATCATTACTAATATTACCCACAAACCCTTGAGCTGCGGACGAGAATATGATCATTCTGTTCAGAACTACATACACCATGAAAAAGATTTATTTATGCTCATTATGGTCCGAATAGTGAATTTTAGATACATATATAAGCACAATAGCAAAACAGAGAAGTTTGGTCATTGACTTATGCTTTGTTAAATAATTAGCAGTTTTCCACACGAAAGACAACAACACCTCTTCTCTCTCTAACACAATAGGAAGAATTGTTCATAGTGCAAATTAAATGAAATGTGGTGTATATAGAGGAGGGTGAAACAGTGACAGGGTGATTTCTCTTGTTGTAGGTCAAAATCAGCAGTCTTTAATCACTTAGTGAGACATCAACAACAAATGATTGCCTTCATGAAGAAATTCTGATAATGTGGGATATTTTACACTGCACTCGTGAGTGTGAAGCTCCTCTGAGCCGTCAATTACTTAATATTCATTTTAGGGTGAGCTGACCCTTTAAATCACATATTAGCAGTATATTGACAGCATACTGACGTCACGGACAAACGAAACCATCTACCTGACTGAGCTGCAGCCGCTCCAGTCTCCACCACAGCAGTGGGCTGATGGGTCTTCTCATAGTACAGAAGCAGCTCCACATCCTTATCGAACCGGTGACCAGCACTCAGATTCACCTACACACAGCATTACAGGCTTCTGGTGACGTTAAGTGCATAAAAACTGTACACACACACACACAGGTTTGTTTTTGTGAAAAGTGGGGACATCCCATAGGCGTAATGGTTTTTCTACTGTACAGACCGTATGTGCTATTGCCCTACACCAACTATACACACACACACACACTCATATACACACACAGTACCGTGGCATGAGTGTGCTGCGCGTCGAGGAACTCTAGAGGATCCAGAGGGCAGCTGGACTCCAGTCTGGATATTCGGTCAGAAGATCTCACAACAACACTCAGAGACAGAGTGTAAGGAATAACACATGCTGAGGAAACTTCTGGAACACCGGATGCTGAAGCTGAGAGAATCACACGGACAAGCAGAGATTCTATATAACACCAGTCAATGTATAACCCAACAGCTGAACCACAACTGAGCTGTATGTATGAAAACACTGATAAGAGGTTGGACTACATCATTCACAATGCTTTCTGGGAAGAATATATTCATCAAAAGATGTCTTGTACTTTTGTTTTGGTTTTGTTTTCAAAATCTTTGCTGCTTTAAATAAAACATAACTGAATTATAAATGGAAAAACACTACTTTCACTACTGTGACCTGTATGTGATTATGATCTCTGGTAAACTGTGCACCTGCGGGTGTGTATCGTGGGTTGAGTACAGCCGGCAGACAGATGCGCAGCGCGTGATCGGCCTGAACGCTGAGCTCGATGACATAGACGATGGTGATGGAGGCGTTCTGACCCGGAGACAAACAGCCGACACTCAGTTTGAACACGTCCGAACTCTCATCACTCTCTTCCAGCAGAAACGCCTGCTGACCCGAACTCACAGCATCATCATACTGATCCCGCGCCTGCAGGAGACAAACACATCCATAACCACAACACCAGAACATCCTAACGTACTGTTATTCCAGCTGGCATGTAACTATTAATAAGAGAAAGATATGGGGAACAAAGTCCCTGGTCATTTCTGTCTGATCTCAACAGTCTGAGCAGAACATTTCAACGCTTTATTTATTGGTTGCAGTTCTCAAACTTCTCAGGACAAGTTTAGTGTACAGTACGCCAATGCCATATTTTGATTAATATTAATTTAGCCGTATTTCAGGTAAATCATGATGCTGCAAGAGCCTCATTTGACCTTTGTCTGGCCCTTTGCAGATCTGTAGTAAAAATGTTCATTATTTTCTAATACTGGAGAACTCCTGAGGGCCTCTCCAACTATTCAAAGTTTTCAGTCACGTGATGGTTACCGAGACCTGGAGGCTAAACATCCATAGAACTGAATTACAGACCTGTCAATTTTCCATCTCAAAAGAAGAAAACACATGAACAAAGTCCAGGTTTTGGGCGCATGTGATCCATATACTGCAACTGCAATATTTCAAACACTCAGTGTTTTTCACGTTAAGCATTTTAGAACGTCCCGCTGTTTTTAAAGTGCCTTAATGTACTAAAACAGTGATATTAAATGATCAAATTCCGTATAAACTTTATTCAAGATGCATATTAAATACAGCAGATGAGCCCAGAATATGAACGCAACATACTAAATGGTCAAGCGTTTTCTTTATAATGGTTTTCTTTGGAAAAACACTTAAAGAGAAACTGCATGTTGTGTTTATATTCTGGGTTCATCTGCTAGCGTGTACATAGCATGCATCATCAATAAGATCTATACTGAATTTGGTCTTTTAATATCACTGTCTTATTACATTAGTACTTAGCACAAACCTGGTAAAAATGACAGGCGGGCAATGGAGAAAAGCCTTGTTTTGTGTTCATAACAGAGGTATTTTATATATAGTCACCTTCGTTTCTATAGAGCTTTATACAATACAAGATGGTTTCAAAGCAACTTTACAGGAATAAACAGGAAAATAATGATTCAATAATGCAAATAAAGTTAAATTCTGCAATCAAGCAGCTCTAAAGAGAAAATATTGTCATTGTTCAGCTGTGGTCAGGTTCAGTTTAATTCAGTAATGTGTAAAGATCATCAAATATGAAATGAGTTAAATTACGTAATAAAGCAGCACTGTAGAAAACAGTGATGTCATCATCAGCTCAGTTAAGTTCTCATTCAATATTCTCAGTACAGTCAAAACAATAATAATGCTGAATATAAAGTCAAAAGTCTGCATTTGTACAATCTCCCCAGAATTAAATGGGTTGCTGTAGAAAGATAACAAAAGCTTCTGTTGTGCAATGTGTGCTCTAAACAAATATTTTTAAAAAATCAAAGAAAATGGACAGACAGGATTCATTCACTCCTGGAATCTCATGTACAAATCTTTGCATAGATTTCATAGGCTTATTTGAAAGTACAGGTATGTGTGCTGGAGCAGCTTTGAACTAAACTCTGTAGGACTGTGGAGTTTGACACCAACCTATGCCTTCATTAACATGTTAACATAGGAATGGGCGACTCAGGTCCTGGAGGGCCGCTGTACTCCAGAGTTTAGCGCCAGCACACAGGTGTGTTTGATTAGGGTTCGGGACCGAGCAGGAATCGAACACCTGTCATAGATAAAACACAACACCGGTGGTATTTAGACTCACGCTCTCTTTGTCTTGCACCTCTGCCACAATCTCCTGCTCTCCAATCCTTGCACTGAAGTGGCAGACGATGGCGTCGGCGGGCAGAGGGAAGACGAACACGGCCTCCAGCGGATGCTCCTCCTCATTGACATACTGCAGACTAGAGCTGACGGAGGCCACGTGATCCCGAACCTGCAGCTGCACCGAGATGCTCTTCAGAGGAACTGAGAGAAACACAAACATCTCAACACTCTCTTCAGAAGATCAATACAAACATCTCAACACTCTCTTCAGAAGATCAACACAAACATCTCAACACTCTCCTCAGAAGATCAACACAAACATCACAACACTCTCTTCAGAAGATCAATACACACCTCTCCTCAGAAGATCAACACAAACATCTCAACACTCTCTTCAGAAGATCAACACAAACATCACAACACTCTCTTCAGAAGATCAAACACACAAACATCTTAAAACTCTCCTCAGAATATCAAAACAAACATCACAACACTCTCTTCAGCAGATCAAATCCACAAATATCTCAACACTCTCTTCAGAAGATCAATACAAACATCTCAACACTCTCTTCAGAAGATCAACACAAACATCTCAACACTCTCCTCAGAAGATCAACACAAACATCACAACACTCTCTTCAGAAGATCAAACACACAAACATCTCAACGCTCTCTTTAGAAGATCAACACAAAGATCTCAACTCTCTCTTCAGAAGATCAACACAAAGATCTCAACACTGTCTTCAGAAGATCAACACAAACACACAAACATCTCAACACTCTCTTCAGTAGATCAACACAAACATCTCAACACTCTCTTCAGAAGATCAACACAAACATCTCAACACTCTCTTCAGAATATCAAAAAAACAACCATATCAACACTCTATTCAGAACATCAACACAAACACACAAACATCTCAACACTCTCTTCAGAAGATCAACACAATCACCTCAACACTCTCTTCAGATCAACACAAACACCTCAACACTCTCTTCAGAAGATAAAACATACAAACACACAAACATCTCAAAACTCTCTTCAGAAGATCAACGCAAACACCTCAACACTCTCTTCAGAAGATCAAACAAAACACACTCACACCTCAACACACTCTTGATCAA